GCCTGTACGTTTCCTGTGAGGATTGATTACATTTCTTCAAAGCGAATAGAGCATAAGCAAGACAGGTTACATCTGTATTGTGAAACTTTATTCCTGAAACAATATAGCTTTAAGGTCAGGTAAAATTTTTGAATAAGTGCATCGTACACATCTAAATTGGTCAGAGTTTCATAATTACAGGGTGAACATTTTAAAGTGTTAATGAGGGATTACAGAATATACAAATAACATCTATGTTCTGTCCAGTCAACCTATTTACATTGTATTCAACAGAGTGTGTATAACCTAAATAGAAATTCTGCTTGACCTGGTAAGATTGAGAATTTACATGGCAGACCTGTAAATACTACATAGGTATATTCCTTTATTACAGTGAGATCTAATATTCTGTTACATTAGGAACAGTTTAATAGAAATACTTAGTGTTTTCAAGATATTTTGGATATGGCTCCAAACTAAACCCATCCATTGGCTATCCTGGCTGAAAATTGAAACTACTTCAGTTGTTTTAATAGACTGTCAAAGTGAGATATATATAAATAAGACACTTTTTACTCCATTTTAGATGTTTTGCAGTACACTACAGTATTGCTTTAAAAATGAATCTGCTGTATATGTCTTTTGAGTTGCAGATTATATGCAATAATCTAGAGATTTGTGTTATATTTTATTTCATGTTCAGGATATGACAGATAATTTTTTTAGACTTTGTCATGAACTTATGATATTTTTAAAAGTACATTTTAAATAAGTTCATAGATTCCATAATGCTTTACCTGAAAAAAGTCAGGAAGAAAAAGCTCCTCTTTTTTTTTCCAGGGTCACACAAAGAAAATGAATTTTTTCAAAGTGGGAAAATTCTTCACTTTGGTGGATATGCCAGGCTATGGGTTTAAAGCACCCAAAGATTTTGCAGAGATGGTGGAGCCTTATTTAAGTCAACGCACAAAGTAAGATTGAATATTATAATTTCTTGGAAATTTTTCTGTGGGATTAGGAAGGGGAACAGAGTTGTAAAATTTAGAGAGATGTGCTTGGGCATACAAAACAATGTTTAGGTGAAACAACAATTAAATTTGGATACAATACAATGCTGTTATAATCACTATTTAAACTTTAAATTTTAAAGTAATTCCTGAAGTATGGGAGAAGCCATATTGCTCTAATTTCAATTCTATCTGTAGCAGCACATTTTCTCAAAAGCAAAATGTATCTTCCTTCAAAATGTTACCTCTGTTGTTCTGCCAAAGGAGAATTTACCACAGAATAATGGTATAAATGTACGGTAGAATGATAGAATTCCGAACTAACTTAAAAATTAGAATCAAAAATCACCTATTTCTCATGCTTGACTGTTATTTTTTTCATATTATGTTTGTGAGAAATTGTGACTCTGTTTCTATTTACTGCAGCTTGAAGCGTACATTCTTATTAGTAGATGCTAAAGAAGGAATTCATGAAATGGATAACATTGCTGTAGAAATGTTAGAAGAATTTGGGATCCCTTATGTTGTAAGTAGCATACCTTATTTTTCNATGCCTTAATCCCATCCCCCTGGAGCTGATGGGGGGAACTCATTATTATGTAAAGGGACTGGCTTGGCCTTCTTAATGGCCCATTGACAAAAAGGGGGGAGGGGGGAGGAAGTTGCAGGAAGTTTATCTTTAAAACTTTTATCCTTTTCACATCCAGAGAGATATAATATTCTGCCTTTTCAATATTTCCTAGGATATTTCATTTTTCTGGGAAAGGGCTGGGTGATAACTTTCCACAATTCATTGTGTGTTCACGTAAGAGAAAGACATGGTGATAATTTCTTTTTTCCACAAGACTTACAAAAACAATTTTCCACAAGAAGCTAAAATTGTTATCTGTTTGACAATGCTTTTCTCTCCACCAGAATCTGGCTTCTATATTTGCCATGTCATGCCTGTGTCATCTGCCTATAATTAGAAATTGTCTGAGAAGTTATAAAAAACAACTAAGACTTACAGGCAAAATTCCCCTTTTTCATACTGTATGCGTTAGCAGAAAAATCCTGTTCTCAGAATTGTGGCTTGTATTATGGCCCCAAGCTTCTCAACCCCATCAACTTTAAAATGTATGGACTATGACTCATAGAATACCCCAGTGACTTGGAGTTGTAGCAATATCAAATAGATAACAAATTTAGCTTCTTGTTGAAAATTGCTTCTATAAGCCTCATGGAAAAAAATATAAATTATAAAAATTATAAATTTATAAATTCTACATGCAACTATTAGGTATATGGTGGGTTTATGTTATCTTTTATTAGATAGATATTTTATTGTAGAAAATAGTATGTACATATAATTTAATACTAAATATTAACATTAATGACAAATATTTAATATTTTTATATTTCTGAAAAATATGTCTTCCTTTTATTCTTTGCCTGAATATTTATTCACAAATGTAAGCCAGATTAAATTTACTGCATAATAATCATTGTTCCGTCTATTTACTAACATCCCAGTTCTTAGTTATTCCTACTAAGGGGCATATTAATATGGTTGGATAAAGCCCAAGTTTTGCACAAGAACAAAGGAGATCCCTAATAATTAAAAACACTTGAAAGATAAAGTGCCTGAAAACTTTTTGTGACTACCAGAATATATCCAAATAGTGTTTTTGATCAAGATTTGCCATAGAAAAAAAAAAAAGAAATAGGCAGCCAGCGCAAGCAAGATAGATTTGAAGGTTTGGATCAGGCCGATTGACAACCAGACACAAACTTTCAAGTTTTCCCCAACACAACTAACTTTTTTCTCTACAATAGCTACATTCCCCGAAAAATGCTTTTTTGCCTGTATTGCCACCTAGCTGTCAAACAATATATTACGGTATTATTGTGTTACTGCTTACAGGGACTCAGAAGTGTTTGAAACCAAACATTTTGTTCTGACAGCTTCATTTACATACAAAAATCAGGCGGTTTAAGACTGTAATGCTGATAAGCCCTAAATCATATTTTGATATGTTTGGCTTAGGGTGGACATGATGCATGAGCACATCTGTTTTGCTTGAGTAATAAAACTCTGAATAAAAGTTAAATGTGAACACATAGACTTTGATATGCTAGTTGCTGAGCATAATCACTGACTGTAAGCAAAACACCTTGCATATTTCATGTTAAACCGTTGTCTTATTAATGTTATAAATGGTTCAAGACTTGTGTACTCTTGATGATTTCCTATTGCTTATATATGGCATAAGTTCATTTTTAATAAACGGACCTACCTATGAAGCCTGCTTACACATGAAAAGCCACATACTCCCCCATCAAAATGTACGGTACTATTATTCTACCACCTCTTTCTTATGGAGTTATCCATTGTTTGATGGATAAGCCACAACTATTAAATTCACACAACATGCTACGCGAAAACCGAGTTGTGGTTAAGAGCAGATCTAAATATGAACTCGTAATCATTGCAAAGCCAAATTCCCACGCCTGTAAAAATTTTGGAAGGGAAATGCTTTTTAATTCATTCAGGTTCCATCACGGGTATATAAAACGTGATTTGTTTTTTAAACTGCCTTGCGAATAATGTCTGGATATATTCAAAGAGGACCAATCATAAGCCAATCATTTTCTATCTCTATGTTCTCTGGCGTCCGGGTCAAAGACCTCGGAGCAAACAAATCCCGGCTTCCGGGTAAGGCGTGCTGGCTTTCCGTACTGATAGAAGCGTGAATGGTGAGACCTTCGTTTCTGCTGTGATTGTGCGTGCCTTCTTTTGAAGTTTCTTTCGTGTGCTCAATCTTTGGCGATTTAATGTCCTGTCCTATGAAGGACATCGCATTGGGGAAGCAACTCCGCCGCCTCAAATCTGCACCTTCTTGCAGATTATCTTTTGTTTATTGCTTAATCTTTATTGCAGCTTCCGCTCCCCCTCCCAAAAAACAACTGCCTTTAAATATCCGATTTTATCCAGCAAAAGGAAATTATTTCTTTGACGTGATTGGATCTTATTCACTAGGAGCAAATGCAGAATGACATGATGTATACCAGAGGTCTTCAAACTTGGGAACTTTAAGACTTGTGGACTTCAACTATGCTGTCTGGAAAATTCTGGGCGTTGAAGTCCACAAGTCTTAAAGTTGCCAAGTTTGGGGACCCCTGATGTATACTTTTAGCCAGCATATGTTAAAGGGGAAAAAATGCTACAGGGGGCAGGAGTAAAATGTTTGTGGTATTATTTAGTTATTAGATTTGTACAGCTTCTAGTTCACAATTTTTAACTACCTATGGAAGTGATCCCCAACCCAAATGGTCTCCAGATGTTTGGAATGATAATTCCCATCCTTGAAAATAGGGGATTGATGATGATAAGATTTGAAGGCACCAGGTTAGAGAAAGCTGAGTTAAAGCAATCATGATTGCTAACTTTTTCTTCCTTTTTTCTCACTAGAAATTTGGGCTTGAAACTCTCCATTTGAAGTTACATATCTATAGTTACTGAGTCGTCGTGGTAATGGAAAATCTATGTGTGAAGGTGCATCAATTGTCAAAATCTAGCAGCTATATCAGCCTACTACAGAAACGGCTTATGGCCCAAAGAAGGACTCCTGTACAGTATGCTTCATTTACAGAAGTTCAACAGCTCCCCGAAAAACAGTTTACTGCCATAACATTTCCTCTCCAAGATCTGGCAAAATTCTTGTCTCCTAATGTGGACAGATCATCCTTCTGCATTTTCAAACCTAACCAGAAGGACATTCAGACAGCAGAGAGGTTTTTCATTCCATCACGTCAACATATCATTGATTATTCCACTTCTGCGGTCCGGATGGATCATGCCCCAGAAATGCCTGAGCCTGAGGTAAGATCAGTAAAAAGGAGGTTCCATTTTTATTATTTAGGTTTAAGAGGAAGGAGGACAAAAGGTATCAAAATTATGCTATTCAACATGTTGAGCAGAGGTTTGGATACAGAAGAAAAAAAAGTTTCTAAAAGTCCAGATTGTAGAAATCTGGGTTTTTTTAACTGCAGAATATCTCTATTGTAAACAAATTTTTAGTCCTTGTGATGTGAATTCTGCCCAAATAGCAGTCTTGCAAAGGTAACCCAGCTAATGGACCATTAAGGGGTTAAATATCTACTTAACGATTTATTGTCTGTGGAGATTCTTAGTCATCCAGGTGATGGTTGTCCCAAAGTGCTTTTTCAAGAGTCAACTGCACTTTCTGTTTTTTCTTTGAAGCACTTTTGCTTCTTATCCAAGAAGAAGAACCTTTAGGTTAATCATTTATTGTTTCTTTACAAATGACTCAAAGATAAACAGAAGCTGATTTATACTGTCTGTTTATCTCTTTCTATTTTACATCAGGGTTATTGTTCAGGTATTTACCTGGCTTTGCAAGAAATATAATCCAAATTCATTTTTGTTCCTTGTAGCTTTGGTTTTTAAATGGGAAGATCCACAAAACAAAATGATAGCAACTATAAACAAAGCTAATCTTGTAACATTGCCAATTCAATGAAAGCAATTGTAGTTCAGGAGTGAAAATATCATTTTAAGGCACAATTTCTCCCACATTTGTTTCTTTCAACCTCTGTACATCAGTATTACCATCGTCTTACAAGAATTTGGGAACAAGCTTGAAACACTAAGATAACTCCTACCGTTTTATTGCAGCTTAGCAAGTTTTGTGAGCTTGAATTTTTTTAAAAAAATGATCCTGGCTATCTAAAACATCAGGAATCAATTAAGTCCACTTCTTTGGTTAGAACAGTGGTAGTCAACCTTTTTATACCTACCGCCCACTTTTGCATTTCTGTTCGTAGTAAAATTTTCTAGCCGCCCACTGGTTCCACAGTAATGGTGATTTATAAAGTAGGAAAGTAACTTTACTTTATAAAATTAAAACCCCTACCGCTCACTATGAAAGCTGGAACGCCCACTAGTGGGCGGTTAGGGACCGGGTTGACTACCACTGGGTTAGAAAGTTTAAACTCTCGGTCCTAGCTCTACCTTTTACAAGAGAGGAAGTACTTCTCCTTGGTTTCATTTTAGTTTAATTGAGAAGTGAGAGAAAGAGAGATTTAGGAATTGAGGAGGATGGAAGCATAGGGAAACAACCCAAGTATTTGCTTATGTGCGGCAGCAAACAAGAACAAGACTCCAGCTCTTTGTTCACAATAACGCCATGAGGAGAGATGGATTGGTGGGTAATGCTTGCAGAGATGGCAACTAGCTCTGTCATTTTGTAAAAGAAGCTAACAATGAGCATGGCATCTTATATTTTAACTTCTTGAGGGGGGGATTTTCTTACCTGATTCACTGCTCTTTCTTGAGCAATACTAGTTGAGGGTAAGCAGAAAAGTCTTGGAGCTCAGGAGCATCTCCCCACCACCACCACCACCCTGAAAGTGGCATAAAGATGATCTAGGTAATCAGCACTTATGACGATGGTTGTTGAGGTGTGGATAGGTAATATAAGTTTAAGTATAATCTTTATTGTCATTGTACTTAAATACAACAAAATTGGCTAGGGTTAGGGTTAGGGTTAGAGTTAGGGTTGGAACTGCTTGGTTCCAACCATAGCGCCTTCCAAACCACATACCTCCCTTCCCTAACAGGAGTCTGCAGATGGTCCAGGATTGATCTCCAAGGGACTTTCTATTCAAGTGTTAACCAGCGGAAAGAGAGAAAGGTAGCATCAGAGATCACCAGGAAGCTTTTTCCCACCTAAGAGAAGCAAGACATGTAAGCAGATATGCTGCCTTCCCTTCACTAAGTTGCCACCTGCTAAGAACAGGGGAAAAAAAAGGGGGGGGGGCAATCCAAGTCATACCTGGTCCTGGTAGGGTGGTTCTGTGGGACTTGGGGAAAAGCAGTTTCCCACTGGAAACAATCTGTACCCCTACAGAAGGGACTGTCTAAAATCCTCCAGCCATCAAGGGAGGCAGCATCATAAATGGAACTATCCTCAATGCTTATAACATTTTTGGAATAGTCAAAAGCCATGATGGCATGTCTAAATTGAGAGGTTTCTCCGATTGGCCTCAGAACAAGTCCAAAGGATAGTGTCTTACTATTTCCCCTATCAGAAAGCAAGAAACCTTATGGCTGAATGTAACACTAGCTTCTTATATTGAGCAATAGAAAATATCTTAATATCTAAATGTCCATCAGCTAGGTATAGTAGATGCTCTGGTCAATTTGGCAGCTGTTCAGATGGTGATGGTAATGTCAGTGGGAATAACACAATGGGTTTCTGGGTTTCCTCTGATTAAACTAGACAAAAATTGGCACCAAAACTAGCACAAGTCATAGCATGCCAGAGCACCAAAACCCGAAAGACAGCAGCTGGCCGGTGCACATTCATGCGTCAGCCAGCTGCGCATCCGAGTTTTATCGCAGGCATGTGCGCCAGCCAGCTGTGCCAGCACGCATGTATGTGTAGCCAGCTGCTCTCTTTGAGTTCCATTGCGTGCATTTTCCCCCGCCAGTTGGTCGTCACACATGCGCACAATGGAATCCAGAAGAGAGCGGCTGGCCACACACACATGCATGCCGGACCAGCCAGCCAGTGCACATGCGCATGACAGAACCCCAAGGTGCACTGGCGACAGTGCGTTTGGCCACAGATACGGCTGTGTGCCACCTCTGGCACGTATGCTATATGTTTGCCATCATGGTTTTAGGCTGTCTTTTGGAAGAAGTCACATAAGGTGACTGCTGATGAGAGCTTAGCCTCCATTGGGTAGCAGCAAAGTTTAAATCTTGATGCTGGCAAGAGGGAACATAACCAATTTGTGTCAGGACCATTTATTGGAGACCAGTAGGAATGTTTTAAGTATAATTGTAATTATTTAAAATATATGATTAGATCCCAGTTGTCCCAACCCCACATGTGAGGCCAAGTTAAAATGCCTCCAGTTGGCTGGTTCCTCTTTAAAAACATCCTGGATACAATGTTACAGTGCAGCCTAAGATTTACAAAATAATAAAATTAGAATATGGTTTCCATGTGCTCACTTTACTNGTCAAACGAATTCACTATAGTCTTTCAAGTCCAAGCTTTCTCTTTACTCCAGTCCAGCTACTGATAATACTCGAGAAGAACACCTGTATAAACAACTTGTGCTCTTCCCACTGTTCCTTTCAATAGACAAAATCAAGGACTTTAACATATAACATATAAGTCAAATGATTAAAGGAATTAGTGTTTCCAAGCCTCTAGCCTCTAGACAGCAATGTTACTTCATTTTCTTCTGCTTTTACCATTCTCTTTGTTACAAGGTTTAAGAAAAAATATATATGCTTAAAATGTATAATCCGCCCAAACGTTACAAAAAGGAAGAGATTCTTGCTCCACAGATACAAAAAGTGAGGAAAAATAGAGGAAGAAGGAAAAAAGAAACCAGACCAATTTAAAAAGTAAGAGGCATTTGTAACAATTCCATCCAAAAAAAGGAGTTAAAAAAAAGATAACTCTAATTTTAATATAGGCTTAATCCGCCACTTGCTCTCTTTTGCCTTCACTTTTAATTTTACTTTAAGTCTTTTGGATATTCTCTTCTCTCATGGTAAATAGTAAGATTTATCTCACCAATTCTGACACACACTCTCCTGCACAGCTTCCGTTCAGGGGTCTGTCCCAATCTTATGCAGCTTAAAATGGCTACTTCTCATGTAGCTGGCAAAAAGAGCTTTCTCCTGGATCAATCAGGAACTTTACGATGTCCTGGAGATCAGCAGGACATGCCCTTCTCTATCACCGTCTCTTCGGGATGGTTTAGGTCCAAAAAGAACCGTCCAGCAACAGAGATTCGACAGCAATCCTGGAGCCCCAAGATTGCATGTCGTAGCAATGTCAGGCCCTGCCTTCGAAGTCCACACTTGTTAAGTTGTTAAGGTTAAAAAACATTAGTCCAGGATAATTTAAAAAAAAAAAACTTGTGAAGAAACAGACGCAGCCAATTTTTTAGGAATTCTATTCCAGTTTAGTCAGAGATGTGCATGCAAACAATAAAATTTGTAATTAAAATGCTGCTTTCACCAACAGGGGTTTTAAAATTGTACTAAAATG